AGGCAAAGGAGCTTCTTTTAGGTTGAGGACGTATATCCTCATCCATTGTTAGAAAGCGACCTGCCTCCTGGAATATCCCCAGATATAGAAACGGAAGTTTAATGCTTGTGCACCGTATTGTGTGGTTTGCAAGTTTGGCTCTTCTGTTACACATTCCACCACCTTCTTCATCTCTTTTGGGATTCAAAAGCCCCCAAAACAGAAAAAAGAGAATATTTTGATTAAATAAAATGCTTCCCTTTTGCTTTGAGTTGAAGCATACTTCAATTAGTTTCTATGGACTGCCTGCTTATTTCTTTCCATCTAATGCACTAGCATTGCTCTTGGTTTACTGCCGTTGGTCTTATTATTTCATACGGACAAAGCAGGTAGCAATCATGGCAGGTATGGCACCAGAAGGGTCACAATTTGATGCTCGTCAATATGACACCAGAATGAAAGAGTTGTAAGTTTTTCTTGTATCTCAGGGACTGCCTCGATGAGTATTCTAGAGATGTTTTATCATCATGGGATGTTATAATTTGATGGTATATGTAAACATATTACTCTTTTCTTGATGAATATTCGGTGCAGGCTGTCAGCTGATGGACAGGATTTCTTTACTTCATATGACGAGGTTCATGATACTTTTGATGCTATGGGTCTACAGGAGAACCTTCTTAGGGGTATTTATGCTTATGGTATGTGTATACTGTCTTAAAGGAGTTCATCTATACCTGCTTGCTGGTTTTAGTTAGATTGAATTGTAAATTCTCTAAATTGTTTGAGCACATATGTCGATAGGACCAATAATTGGAGAAAAGAAAAGGTGTCTTGTGATACCATGTCAGTTTGCTAGTGTTGGAGTCAATTTGGGGAACATTGAATGGAATATTCTCTTGCCAGTGGATTTTGTGATTATTGTTTACTTAGTTATTTTGCTTTTGTTCCCCCCAAACTCCTCTCCCCAAAATTTTGGATATCACTTTTTATGTTTTTGTCCCATAATTCTACATCTTACCTCTTATTTTTGTTTCTCTCTCTCACACATGTAAAGGATGTTTTGCTTGTTAAGTTGACAATGTTTTATCTTCCTTTTGAAGGTTTTGAAAAGCCCTCTGCAATCCAGCAAAGGGGTATTGTTCCATTCTGCAAGGGTCTTGATGTTATTCAACAAGCTCAATCTGGAACAGGGAAGACTGCTACTTTCTGTTCAGGAATTCTGCAGCAACTTGATTATGGTTTGGTCCAATGCCAAGCTCTAGTTCTGGCACCCACTCGGGAACTTGCACAACAGATTGAAAAGGTTATGCGAGCTCTTGGTGACTATCTAGGTGTGAAGGTTCATGCTTGTGTAGGTGGGACCAGTGTTCGTGAGGATCAGCGCATTCTTTTAGCTGGCGTTCATGTAGTTGTTGGCACCCCTGGTCGTGTTTTTGACATGTTGCGAAGGCAGTCACTTCGATCAGATTCCATTAAAATGTTTGTGCTGGATGAAGCAGATGAAATGCTGTCACGTGGTTTCAAGGATCAGGTATATTGGTTCTTGTTTGTATTTGAGTCTGTCTCTAGTGTCTGCTGAACGTTTCTTCATGAAAGCTCTATGTTGATCTGTTTTATTGCTGGTGAGGCACTTGTGATGTTTGCGTAGTAATGTGTTCAAGGTTCATTGTTCACAAAATATCTACTCATCCAATGTTGAAGGATGATATTGTATCTCTATAATGACGCAATGCTCTGCAGTCCAAATGTATTATATTTGAACTAAATATCTTGTAACTTGAAATATGATTATTCACTTGTCACCCTTCTTCATAGGAGTTGTGGTGTTCCTTCTCTGGTGGGGTAACTTTGAATAGGACTGCTAGTGGGAGTTGAATTCATGAGATTACTGTGCCTCTGTAAGGTTGATGGTTTCCTGAGAGATATAATATTGTGGCATTGATGCTACTTCTTCTGTCTTTGCTGTATCATCTGTACCGAGCTATGATTTTCTAAGTTCTGTGTGTTTTGAGCTTTTCTTTTGTGCCTATCACCAACCAATTTTTGATAATTCCTAAAATTAGCAAGTTGTTCAAAATCTTGGAATGTATTGTAATCTTTGTTGTATCATCTCTACTGAAGTGGTGAATTTATTGTCAGCGTAGCAGTGGCATTAAAATTCTTGACCTGGTTTTGTATGTTTAGTTCTTTTGTCAATTGGTTGCGCTTTCTGCTCTTTGTGGAAGATGTTATACTGTCTATTTGATGAAGCAGAGTCAGTTTTTTTTTTTCCAATATTGTAAACTTGAAGAGTGACGCTTGGTTTTTGCTTGAACATTTTCTTGAGGTTTTGAGAATTTTTTGGATACTGAGGACTTGATTTTGTCTTTATTGCCAGATATATGACATTTTTCAGCTTCTACCTGCCAAAGTTCAAGTAGGAGTTTTCTCCGCTACCATGCCACCTGAAGCCCTTGAAATCACTAGAAAGTTTATGAATAAGCCAGTCAGGATTTTGGTTAAGCGTGATGAATTAACTCTTGAGGGAATTAAACAGTTTTATGTGAATGTTGAAAAGGAAGAGTGGAAGCTTGAAACTTTATGTGATCTCTATGAGACTCTAGCCATCACCCAGAGTGTGATTTTCGTGAATACTCGACGCAAAGTTGACTGGCTTACTGACCAAATGAGAGGCCGTGACCACACAGTCTCAGCTACGCATGGAGACATGGATCAGAATACCCGGGATATAATAATGCGCGAATTTCGCTCTGGTTCTTCTCGTATTCTCATCACCACTGATCTCTTGGCTCGTGGCATTGATGTCCAGCAAGTATCTCTCGTCATAAATTATGATCTTCCAACTCAGCCGGAGAACTATCTTCATCGCATAGGAAGAAGTGGACGGTTTGGAAGAAAAGGAGTTGCTATAAATTTCGTGACAAGGGAAGATGAGAAAATGTTGTTTGATATTCAGAAGTTCTACAATGTGGTTGTTGAAGAACTTCCACAAAATGTTGCTGATCTCCTTGGATGAGGTTGATTTTGGCTTTTCTTAAATTGAGGTGGTTACTTAATTCTTCTTTTACCCGCCCAAAAATATGTATTATACATAAAACTTTCATTTCTTCCTTCTATTGGCTTTTCCGCTTGTTCGTTCATTCATTAGATAGAGTCTTACAATCAATAATGGTTCTTGATTTTGCAGCATGGTGGACGCGTCTGTCAAGTGTCAACTTAGCGGTTCAGCCTGGCGGACGTATGCCACTCCAAATTTTGTTGCTTGTAGGGATTGATTCTGAATTGGCATTCTTTTGACACACCAAATTTTGTCTAATACTACTAGCATTTATTTTTGTAGCTTGTTTACTCTTCGGTTCGGAGGCATTTTTTGATATCATTATAGAGTGGTAATTTTATGATTTACTACTAGTTATGCTTTGCTCCATTCCATCTTGGCCTGCCTTTTGTTTTTCCATAGTTAATTGAAAAGAAGGAAAGAAAGAAGAGAGAATTTGAGGCACCAGATTTCGACCTCTCTCTATGACATTGGTTTGGTCTGTCATTTGACCTTCAAGTGTGTGTTGAATCTTGCAGAGTCGTCATATAAATTATAAATGTATGTAGCGGACAAAGGGGTGTAACACACGAATTTTCCAATTCGGGTTGCCAAAAAAAAAAAAAGAAGAAGAAAACGTTTGCTTCGATTATGACAACCCTTTAAACAAAGGCTCAAGTTCTTTTTGCCTTTTGACTCTCTGTATCCCTTAACGAAACAACTGCTTTGAATAATCCGTGCCGGATTAGCTGGTTCAATGGCTCTGACCGTTGCACTGCATGGTTCATTTCTATCGCAAGTTTTTCAGTTTATGCAATCAAGTTCAGTTTCCGGTAATTACCATTGCTCCGGCTAGTTGGACAGCTGATACACCACACCGATTATTCATTCACTTTATCATACCCATAACACTCTCTCTCTACATTGCTTACAATAATACACTAAGTCATAATAAGCACATTCTCTCTCTCCCTAGTTATATACTACTTGCTAGCAGTACAATAGTACTTTTCACTACACCGGTGGTAATTCAATACTTAAATTGCAGTAATTTTTCATCAACAAAACTTTTCTCCGAGCCTTAAATGGGATCTCAACATGAATTTTGAGTGCATTTATGTCAATTACACTAACAGTAGCGCTGGGATCATATTAAAAGATTAGCCATAATGTTGGGAGACAAATGTCCGCAGTTTGGGGCAGGAAAGAGTGCTGGATTAGTTTTAACTTATCTTTGGCCTTCGTTCCCAAGAAGTTTAATAGGAGGAGTATATGTTATCAAGACAAATGTTTCCTATGCTGTCTCAGCATCCAAAGTGACAAATTTGGACTCAATGGTAATGGCTGGGCTGCGGCAATGGCACAACTGTTGCAGGTTGAAACTTTTAATGGTGCGTTGCCGCCGGGAGCGGGGGCGGCTTGAGAGATTCAACCCATGGATGCGTGGCAGATTAGGTCTGTTTGACCAGTCATCATGTTACGAGGCATCGCTACAACATGCAATGTTAATTATTATTACGACAATCGAAGAAATAAAATACTCCCTCCGTCCCACTTTGACAGTCCTGTTTTCCTTTTTCGTATATCTCACATTGTAGTCCACTTTCCAATTGAAGAATGTAATTATATTTTAATTTTTTTAAAATACACTTATTCAATGTAAGTTGTTGTTACTATAAATCTATCCATTTAATGAGAGTTGATTCTTTTTTTACCATCAATTTAAGTTCTCATAAAGTTGTACTCTAATTAATGTGAGGGCATTTTAGAAAAATAACTACCTAAATTTATCGTTCCAACAAAATTAACTATTTTTTCTTAAACTGTGTGAAAAAAAAAAATCAGGACTATCAAAGTGGAACGGAGGAAGTAGTAGCAGTAGTGCTAACAAGAAAGTGTCCCACATTTTACAGTAAACTGCCATCAAGAAAAGTCATCATCTACAAGCACTCCATTAATGATTAAAGGATTTTCATTACCACATTTTACAGTAAACTGCCATCAAGAAAAGTCATCATCTACAAGCACTCCATTAATGATTAAAGGATTTTCATTAGTACTAGTAGTAGTATATCGCATTAAAGAATTGAAAAATGAAAAAAATAAAAAATTAAAGCATCAGACAATGAAACCATCCATCCCCCATTTTTTGAGTTGTTTCCATTTACTTGCTCACTAGACAAGAGCCACGCCATTGAATTCAACCACTTGAAGAAAAATCATCAAATCCTCAATCCTCGTAGCTTTCCCCACCTGTATCTTCTCATCCTCTCTCTTCTCTCTCTTCTTTTTGCTGGTTGATCTTTACTGATTTGAATTAATCTTGATGGAGAAATATACTAGATCTAAATCAACAAGGGAAGGAAGGATGCAGCATGGAGAAGATGGCTACTATGGAGACGGGGCAGCATCAGCAGTAGCAGGCCCTCTTAGCATGCATGAACTCAGGAGCTATAGCACTTCTTATACATCCTATATCCAGCCTCCTCCTCCTCCTCAGCCCCCAGCCTACGCGCAGGATTTAACTAAGGACGGGAAGATGAAGAAAAGCAAGAGCAGGGTTGCTTCCAGTTCAAAAAGTTGGAGCTTTAGTGATCCCGAGTTGCAGAGGAAGAAGAGAGTTGTCAGCTATAAGGCCTATGCTGTTGAAGGCAAAATGAAGGGTTCTTTCAGGAAAAGTTTCAGATGGATCAAGGATGTTGTTCATGGATTGTGGTGATTCATTCATTTATCTTGGCATTGATTTTGTCTGTTTTATCACCCCAAGGAAGAACCGCAATGAAAAAAAAAAAAGCAAAAAAGAGATTGTTTTGATCTTGTTTCCAATCATCTTTTTAATTCTTAATTATCTTTTGTTTTTTTTCATTATTGTCGTATAGTAATGTCTTAGCATCTGGAAGGAAAAGAACGAGGAAAAAAAAGATGTCGTTACATAATGGGTCTTGTCCTGTGAAGTTGTCCCCATGGGCCATGACCGAGTCTCCTCTCCTTCATAAACATGAATACATTTACTTACTTGAGAATTATATACCATCCTATAAATATTACTGTCTCATCTTACGTTTCTCTTGGGCAAAGCTATTGGATTGTCTTCTTCCTTCTATTCTATTTAATTTTTTTTCAAGGTGTGGAAGAATGGAATCATCTGTGGTTTCCTTCTATATATATATATATATACTTGGTTCCACCATCTGGGATTACGAAAATGGTTCTAGATTATTGCTGCTTTTCATTTTTCCAAAGCCATCCACCATATGAACAAATCAGGAGTAATACAAGAAAAGGTAAAGAAAGAGAGCTGTTGGCCTGTTAATTTTGGTGTGTTGATGAAGATAAGGTTGAGGCATTTTCTGCTTGTACCATTGCACATAAAAGAAAGTAGTATTAGTAGTAACATCCAATGCACTTGGTACAAAACCGCTAAAAGCCTCTCTATCTCAAAAGTTTCTGTGCTATTCATCACGCGTGTCCTGACTACTGGCTCTGTGTTGATGATGATTGCAAAATGTCAGCCGATTTTGTACATTTTTCTGCTGTTTATTTGTAAATTGCAAGATGGAATTGTTTCTTCTAGACTCTGTGGATTCCAGCTAGCTCCTCCTGCTGTGATTAGTCTGCTCATCCGACCAACTAGCACGCGTCGTCAATAGGAATAGGGTCGGTTAGTGACATTAGGCTAGACGCCTTGTTTGGATAGAGTATTATTTGAAATAATTACTGTAGCACTTTTTATGATTTGATGTATGTGAGATAAAAAAGTGATTGAAAATATAAAAAGATGGGTTGGAAAATGTGTTTATGATTCAAGCGAAATAATATTTGGAATAATTTCACTATCCAAACACTTGGCTTCAGCTTCTAGTTTTGGGTGAAGAAAAGACAGAATAATGCTCAGTTCTCACATAATTTGAGTGTTGTCTTGTTCAAACCTGTTTGTGTAATTCTTACAACGTAATTTATCAGTGATATGTAAACTCGTACACTTTTGATTTTTGGAAACTAGCCAGCATCGACAGAACTCAGAAGTAGTAGTAGTAGTAGTAGTAGTAGTTATTCTTACGCTTATTTATTATAGTATCATAACAATAATATCATCATCGCATTATTATTATTATTAGTGTTATCTTGAGTTGTTATTTCTGTAGCATTAAGCAATGCAGTGTGCTGTAAATTAAATGTCCACTTGATTTCTGTTGGAAAAACTGCATTGCTTTCTTCACCAAGCCGGCCTACTAATGCATGTCGTTGACTTTGAGAGTGCCGGTCAATTGAGTGCATTTACCAGTCGTTACTACCTACCCTATTACTAGCAATTAGGAGTCAGTGAGTTTGTTTGGATAAGGGTTTATTTGGATGATTTATTTGAGATATTTACTGTAGCACTTTTTGTGATGTGATGTGTGTGAGATAAAAAGGTGATTGAGAAGATAAAAAGGTGATTGGGATTTGTGAGGCAAAAATTTTTTTTTGTAAAAAAATTACTGTAACGATTTGATATATGTGATATAAAAAGGTGATTAAAAAATATATTCACAAAAAATATAGCAATTTTTGTTTGAAAAATTGCCGTCCACTGGGTCGTAATGCAAGTATCTCCATGATCAGCAATCCGGGGCACGGCTTTCTTTCATTTGTTTACTCACTGAAATAGTAATGGAGATTCTAAACGTTATAAAAATGGAAAACAGGCAAAGATCTCCCAGTCACCTTATCAATGTCAGTAGTATAAGTTCAGTTGGGGTTTCGAGATAATAATCCAGCAGGCCGCACAAACGCTTCCTTCTGGAGTTGAAAAGAAAACGTCACCCCTGCATTTTACCAGTCAATATCAACTTCCAAGTTCCAAACACAAAGGAAGAAATTTGGAGCCATTCTAGTCATCGAGGGAATGGTCATTTTGATTGTTAAGAGCACGGGATTTTGTGCTCAGACCCACCCCTCGGGGACATCCTATGTATAAAATAAGATACAATAATAATATGATTGGCACACGCACGCTTGAAGATCAACCTTTTGCAAATGTATTAGTAGTAGATTAAGCTACGTGCTGCAACCTTCAAATGTACCAAATTGAGCTCAACCAAACCAATACATACCTCTTAGTCACCATTGTACATAATACATAGGCCACAGTTCTGCTCAAGGTGGTCGACATAAACCTTAATGTAGGAGACTGACATATATATATATATAGGTGGGAAACAAGAAAAATGTGAACGCTAAACGCCAAGAACCACTCGAACGCGCATTGACAGAAGGTAGCGGAAAAATGCATCTAAACTTTCATTGACAACCCCTGTCGTTCCCTCCTCATTTCAAGTTCAAATTACGCTCCCAATTTCTACCCCGTTCACCCTCAGCTAGGTGGATGGATAACAGGCCTCCAACATTACCCCGAAGAACCACAGGCTTGCTCATTATACCAAGATTTGCAGTAAGAAATGAATCACACGCAGTAGCTAATAGTGCAACGTCTCTTCATTCCCAAAACTCAGGCCCTCTATACCCTTGATGGTGGATTCAAAAATCTTCATGTTAGAAGAACTGTGCTTGTGATCGGATGATACAACTGGAGAACTCCTTTGTGCAGTGCTGGAAATTTTACGAAGAACTCCTGGGCTTGCATCTGCTGTACAAGTTCGTGACGGTTCAGATTCATTACCCACCAAAATTGCAGGGTCACGACTACTAGAAACGGCAGGTCGCTTTGAAGATCCACTTGAACGGAGGAACATAGAACTAGAAACCTGCAAAATGCATGTGCCCATCCAAATAAGAAAAGAAGATGAAATTATAGAAGCCTGATAAGAGCGCAAGACTATTGTGGATAATAGATTTTAGGTTTGAGAGACGGACCTCTTTACCAGTCACCAAACCATTTGGTTTTTGTCTAGAGAAGCTTCCGGAATTCAATTGCATTCCAGTGTTTCGACTACGAGCTTGATTAGCTGTTGACCAACCAGTAGGCCTACCATCTTCGCCACCTGCATAGCAAAGCAAAGGTTACAGCTGTTACGTTACAACTACTAAAAAAAAATCTACATATTCTTGAAGAGAAATTGCCTCGCCAAAATGAATGCATCTCGATCAAGTTTGTGCTGTAAAAACAAAGGAAAAATACAAAAGAAAACAGATGGTACATGGACCTTGTATTTATGAATAAGAAAGCCCAGTACTTGTAGAACTACAATATGTAGCAGGACAATTGTAGGATACTCACCTTGTTGCCTATCATGATTGGCAGCACTGACCTGCATTCCCGAACTAGTTCCAACAGTTGTACCCTATCCGGAAAAACACATAGTAATCATCTTACAACCACGGGGCCATTAAAAAATGTAAACAGAGCTTCTATGTCACTTACAAGAGCACGAGAAGGAGGATTGGCAAGCTGTGACTGCTGATATTTTAAGATTGTCCAATCAAATACATAATCAAATTGAAAGCCTGGAAAACAAGGCGAGGTTGGAGAAGGGAAAGAATGACATTACAATTCAAAATGTAACAGATCATAATGCCTTTTCAAGTTTCCAAAACCAAAATAGCTTAAGTAAAGGTGGTATTATCAAACCTTCCCGGATGAAAAGGTCTCTGAAAATTCTCTTAAGATAGGCATAATCTGGTTTATCATCAAACCTAAGGGAACGGCAGCAATGGAAATAGGAAGCAAACTCTGTAGGATAGCCACGACATAAAGCCTAGACCGAAGAAAATACAGTTTGCAGTTAATCTCAGAAGATAGACAAGTAATGGCCTCGGTAATCCCATAAGAAATTTACCTCAATGGAGGTCGAAACTTTCTTTTCACTGATTTTTTCATACTTCTGTTTCTTGGTGCCTGCTTTCAGCCCCTGCCAAGGCAGACTATAGACTTTGGTGTTGGTGAGTGCATATCTATAATGGAAAAAGAGATTAAACACACAAAATAATTGAAATATACCTCCCTCTTAAGAAGTACATAAGAACATATCCCAGCGATTCTAAGTCATCCCTTCGACTTTGTTCTGAGAAGTAAACACCACATCAAGAAGAACAAATGTCAGATGTAAATAGAAGTAATTGATATATAGAAAAAGATACAAGCAAGAGCAAAAAGGCAACAAGCTTACCAATGCCAAGGTGAGTATTCATACTTGCATATCTGGCTGTTCCAGTCAGATTCTTGTTTTCTCTGAACTCAACATTGAACAAGATATATACATCAGTAATTTGCTAACTAAGGTAGATAATATAGAAAACTAGAAGCACCCCAGAAACAAGTATAATACAGGATGAACACAAATGATCTGTGACATAAAGAGTACTTATCAAAATAATTACAGGAAACACAACTCAACTGAGTTATCCACATAAACAACCATCAAGAACCTGGAAAAAGAAGAGTAAAACACTAAGCAACAGAGATTCTCAGTAAGCGGGCCAAATACTTAACAGAGAGCCCTAGTTATTTCTAGATTTCATTAAAATGCACTTACAGAATGACTACCACAAGCATAGGTTAGGCTCTGTTGTTTTTCTTTTAGATCAAGGAACACCTGCTAAGGTGGGGTCATAGCATCCTTTGGAGATTAGTCTCTTTAGTTGCTCATCCCTTGCTTTGTTGAGCTGAGTTTTAAACAGAAACACAGTACCCCATACCAAAAGTTTCCCTTTCCTGATGATTTGCGCTTAGAACTTTCTTATAAAGGATAATTAGATCAAACATGTTAAGTCAAACCGATAGGAAAATGATAATCTTATTAAAACTAGAAAACAATAGAATCAAGACCAGAAATTTTAACTGAAAATCAAAGAAAAGGCAAAAGAGGACAACGATCTACAATCTTTAAATATGATATTTGTCCTAATATTTGGGTTATATACGAAACAAGTCAATCACTTTACCCAACTAATACCAAAACCCTTTGAATTGGAGCATCATTAACCACATAGAAATCCAGAGAGCTCACCTATATGGAATGTGTTGGTGAGTAGACGAGTCCCTATACTTCTTAGCGAGTCCAAAATCGATGATATAAACCTACAATGACTGAGCGTCAGGATGAATCAAAAGAGACCACAAAATCAAGCAAGTAAA